GCAAGAAGTGTGAATCAGGCGGTATAGCGATACCAGACTTCAAACTATACTACAGAGCAATAGTAACAAAAACAGCATGGTACTGGTACCAAAACAGGCGTGTGGACCAATGGTACAGAATAGAGGACACAGAAACCAATCCACAAAACTACAACTATCTTATATTTGATAAAGGGGCTAAAAGCATGCAATGGAGGAAGGATAGCATCTTCAACAAATGGTGCTGGGAAAACTGGAAATCCATATGCAACAAAATGGAACTGAATCCCTTTCTCTCGCCATGCACAAAAGTGAATTCAAAATGGATCAAGGAACTTGATATCAAATCAGAGACGCGCCGTCTGATAGAAGAAAAAGTTGGCTACGATCTGCATTCGGTGGGGTCGGGCTCCAAATTCCTCAATAGGACACCCATAGCACAAAAGTTAATAACTAGAATCAACAAATGGGACTTACTCAAACTAAGAAGTTTTTTCTCAGCAAAAGAAACAATAAGAGAGGTAAATAGGGAGCCTACATCCTGGGAACAAATCTTTACTCCTCACACTTCAGATAGAGCCCTAATATCCAGAGTATACAAAGAACTCAAAAAGTTAGACAATAAGAGAACAAACAACCCAATCAACAAATGGGCCAAGGACCTGAACAGACACTTCACAGAGGAGGACATACAGTCAATCAACAAGTACATGAAAAAATGCTCAACATCTCTAGCTGTCAGAGAAATGCAAATCAAAACCACCCTAAGATACCATCTCACTCCAGTAAGATTGGCAGCCATTAGGAAGTCAAACAACAACAAGTGCTGGCGAGGATGTGGGGAAAAGGGTACACTTGTACATTGCTGGTGGGACTGCAGATTGGTGCAGCCAATTTGGAAAGCAGTATGGAGATTTCTTGGAAAGCTGGGAATGGAGCCACCATTTGACCCAGCTATTCCCCTTCTTGGTCTATTCCCTAAAGACCTAAAAAGAGCATGCTACAGGGACACTGCTACATCGATGTTCATAGCAGCACAGTTCACAATAGCAAGACTGTGGAACCAACCTAGATGCCCTTCAATAGACGAATGGATAAAAAGAATGTGGCATTTATACACAATGGAGTATTACTCTGCATTAAAAAATGACAAAATCATAGAATTTACAGGGAAATGGATGGCATTAGAGCAGATTATGCTAAGTGAAGCTAGCCAATCCCTAAAAAACAAATGCCAAATGTCTTCTTTGATATAAGGAAAGTAACTAAGAACAGAGTAGGGACGAAGAACAGGAGAAGAAGATTAACATTTAACAGGGATGAGAGGTGGGAGGGAAAGGGAGAGAGAAGGTAAATTGCACGGTAATGGAAGGAGACCCTCAGGGTTATACAGTGGAGGGGGTAGAGAGAGAGGAGGGGAGGGGAGGGGAGAGGTGGGGAGGGGGGAGGGTGGATGATGGGAAAGGCAGCGGAGCACAACAGACACTAGTATGGCAATTTGTAAATCAATGGATGTGTAACTGATGTGAATCTGCAATCTGTGTATGGGGTGAAGGTGGGAGTTCATAACCCACTAGAATCAAAGTGTGGAATATGATATGTCAAGAAATTTGTAATGTTTTGAACAACCCACAATAAAAAATTAAAAAAAAAAAAAAAAAAAAAAGAACTTGAAAAAAAAAAAAAAAAAAGAATTTCCATTAGGTTCTTATGGGGGGAGGTATGAAAAGTTGTTTATGAGGGGAGGAGCAGATGAGGAGGGAGAGCCAATTTCTTTTGTATGGTTTCTTTTTCTGTTTTGAGATTTCTCCCTTTGTCTTCACTCATTATGAGTATTTTTCCTTGAACATATTTATAATACCTTGATTTAAAATTTATGTTAAGTTCAACTTCTGGGCCATACCTCTTTATCAGTTTCTCTTAACAGTTTTTTCTTTTAAATATGAGTTATCCTTTCTTGCTCCTTCACATGCTTATTAATTCTTGACATTCTCTATAAATTATAGAAACCAGATTTTGTTGTGTTCCTCCAAAGAGTGTTATGTTCATGAAGGCTGTAACTTTTATCTCAATTCAATTATCTATTTCTCTTATGGTAGGCAATATCTAGTATCTTTCTTCATTTCTCTCAACTGCCACCTGTTGCTTTTTCATCAGATGCAGTTTAGTCTTTCCCATGAAGGGGAAAGTCTTTCCCATGTAGTTTAGAGTAGTTTAAGTGTGATTTGTGAGATTGATCTTCCCTGAGGCACCCGTTCTTTTAGAATTTCCTCCATAGCTTTCCAGCAAGAGTAGCAGGTCTGAGCTTTATTTTCTGTTTTTTTTGCCTCAAGTAAGTAAATCTGCCACTTTTTTACCCCTGAATCAGATACAGATTGGATTGCAAATTTAGGCAAAAAGCAAGATTTATAAAATATATATAATATGTTTATATATGTATATATTGGTAACACAGATTGAACCCAGGGACGTTTATTCACTGAGTTATATTCCCCGCCACTTGGTCATGGTGCTTAATTCTTTTTATACAGTGTTGAATTTGATTTGCTAATATTTAAAAAAAAATTTGTAGTTGTCAATGGACAGAATGCCTTTATTTTATTTATTTTTATGTGGTGCTGAAGATCGAACCCACTGCCTCACTCATGCTAGGCAAGTGCTCTGCCACTGAGCTACAGCCCCAGCCCTGTTAATATTTTTTGAGAGTTTATGTAACTATATTCCTGAAGGATTTTGATATGTAGTTTACTTTTCATGTAATATCTTTTTCTGGTTTTGGTATTAGGATAATGGTCGCCTCACTAACCTTCTTAGCTCCTCCCTAAGTTGCTAAAGCTGACTTTGCACTTGGGATCCTTCTGCCTCAGCCTCCTGAGTCCCTGGGATTACAGGCATGTGACATTGTGCCTGCCAGATTTACAAATTTTACCTGTGGCATGTCATGTCTTTCAGGATAGCTACCTTCCAGTTTTTGCCTATTTTACTTTGATTTCCAATGCCTTGAAATACTTCATTTTCTAGATTCTTGTCCATATCTCCAGGAGGGTTAGTTCAACCAAGTTTCTCTGGCATTGCCTGAAGCCACTTCTAAAAAAACAGCTTTTGAATTTCCTTTTCTAGATTCTTTACACATATATAAAGATTTATATAACTTTTTATACCTTTATTTTATTTATTGATTTTTTTATGTGATGCTGAGAATCGAACCCAGTGCCTCACATGTGCTAGTCAAGCACTCTACCATTGAGCCACAACCCCAGCCCTCTAGATTCTTTTCCACTTTTATAGTGCAGATTATTAGTTAAGTATGTTTTATTTAGATAATACTCTTTGCTTTAAAGTCCAGTTTATCAATCATTTCTTTCAACATTGTGCTTTTGGTGTCATTTACAAAAAGCCTTTGCCATACCTAAAGCTGTTTAGATTTTTCTACTGTTTTCTTCCAGGGGTTTTATATTTTACATTTAGGTCAGATTTATTTTAAATTAATTTTTATGAAGGGTGTAAGCTGTACATCTAGATTTATTTTCATGAATGTTGATGTTCATTAATTCTAGCACTATTTGTTGACAAGACTATCTTTTCTTTCTTATATAGCCTTTGCTGCTTTGTCAAAGATCAGTTGAGTGTATTTGTATGGGTCTATTCCTAGACTCTGTGTTCTTTTTCTTTGATTGATTTGTTTCTTCTTTAACCAGTAAGTTTTGAAGTTAGGTTATAATATCATGTTCTCCAACATGTTCTTACTCAGTATTGAGTTGGCTCTTCTTCATCTATTGCCTTTTCATATAAAATTTAGAGTGCATTTGTTGATATCTACAAAATAACTTGCTGGGATTTTGACTGAGATTACATTTAATCCATAGATTAAATTGGGAAGAACTGACATGTTAATAGTATTGACTCTTTTGTTCATTAAAGTAGGATATCTTTTATTCTCAGAGTTTTATGATATTCCTCATGTAAATGTTATATAAAGTCTGTTAGATTTATATAATGAATATTTCATTTTTAAAAAGCTAATATAATGGGAAAATATTTTTTATTACAAATTCCACTTTTTCTTTGCTGGAATATATGAAAGTGATTGGCTTTTTTATATTATCTTTGTATTCTGCAACTTTGTTATCATTGCATATCATTTCCAGAGGTTTTGATGTTCTTTTGGAATTTCTACATAAATGATCATATTATCTTATGAATAAAGGTAATTTTATTTCTTCCTTCCCAGTATGTATATGCTTTATTTTATTTTCTTGTCTTATTAAATTAGCTAGGACTTGTGCTATTATGTTGAAAAGCAGTGGATAGCAGGAACATTCTTGCCTTTGTTCCTGTTCTTGGAATTTCTTACTACAAAGTATAATATTAGGTGTGGATTTTTTGGTAGGTGTTCAGATTGAGGAAGTTCCCACCTATTCCTAGTTTGGTGAAAGGTTTATGTTTGTTTGTTTTTATCATAAATGAGTGTTAGATATATTAAATGCTTTTTCTGCATTTATTGTTATAATCATGAGTTTTACTTCTTTAGCCTGTTGATGTGATTTATTAATTTATTTTCTAATGTTTGGCCAGGCTTGTGTGCCTGGGATCCAGCCCACTTGGTCATGGTACATAATTCTTTTTATAAATTGTTGAATTTGATTTGTTAATATTTTTTAAGAGTTTATGTATCTATATTCCTAAGGGATTTTGGTGTGTAGTTTACTTTTCATGTAATGTCTTTTTGTGGTTTTATTATTAGGATAACAGTGGCCTCACAAAATGTGTTAGGAGGTATTTTCCCCCATTTCTGTTTTCTGGAAGACCTTGTAGAAAACTAGTATAATTCCTTCTTTAAATATTTTGTTGAATTCACCTGTGAACATATCTGGGCCGGTTTTTTTTTTTTTCTATTTTGTAATGTAATTTTATTAATTATTGATTCCTTTTCTTTAATAAATAGAGGCCTAACACATTATTTTTCTTTTTGGTTGATTTGCTTAGAATGTTGAAAGCTGATAGTTTAATATTAAATTGTTTATTTCTCAAATACTTCATCGTGTTCTGTTATTTTGTTTGTATGTGTTTTATGAGATTAATAAAAATACAACTATTTTCTTCCAGCCTAGTGTGTTAATTGTAACCTACAAGGAACCTACAAAATCATCTACTCAGTTCGGATCCTACAGACAAGCTGAATGGAGACCAGATAGTACCATGATAGCTGTGTCAGTAAGTAGATTTTTTAATTTAAATAGTGTTTTCTTATAAAATCATTATATTGCATCTACACTTGATTGTCTTAAATGACTTCTTTCAATTTTCCACACATCTAAGTATTTATCTTTTAATAATAGGAATTGCTGTATTGATTCTTCTGTACTACTACTGTGTTCTCTATTCTTCCACCTAATATATCTTTGTTGACTTTACCACTTCCTGTCATCCTTAAATATAGCACCTGTATCCTTTTCTATGTAATCATCTTACTTTCCTGTTTTGTCCTTGACATCTAATCCAGCTTTTAAAAGATTTGTCCATATTCACATGGTACTTCTGAATTTATGTTTTAAGTTCTGCCTTCCAGTTTTGGAGGATATCCTATAAAATAATAAGCTTTGTTTCTCATATCTATTGGAATCTATTTCTGCATTTCCATTAGATGTGCCTAGAAGTGCTTCATTTTATCTTTTCCATTTTTATTTTTTCAGTATCATCTTTAGGGATGTCATTATCATCTAATTTTCCATAGTAATAATATGTATGGTTAACATTTACTGAGTCTATGTAAGTACTATATTGTAATAAGTTTACATGGATCATCTCATTTAATCTTTAGGTCAATGCTTTGAAGTATGTACTGGTATCCTTTATAATAAATGAGTAATTTGAAAAACTAATAAGTCCTATCCAAGATTATACAGATAGTGTGTACCAGAGAAATAAGATATAAACTTAGGAACACAGATTTTATGTACTAGACTACGACTAGACTAATCTCTCTCTCTCTGTTTTCAGTCTTTTTAGTCTGTGCTACATTATGCTGACTATATTAATTATCAGAAAATGCCCCAAATAGACAAAAATATTAAGTAGTTCTGTACTGCTTATAGCAGGAGTTGGCCGACAACCACCACATATTACCAAATCTATCCTGCTGCCTGTTTGTGTGTATTCCATCAACTAAGAATAGTTATTACCTATTTAAATGATCAAAATAAATCAGTCAAAATAAATCAATTTTATACTTGAAAATTATATGATATTTTAATTTCGGTGTCCATAAATAAAGCTTTATTGAAGCACAGAAATGCTCATATATTTATGTATTGTTTGTGGCTTCTTTGAACTATGATAGCAGATTGAGTTGAATAGTGTGGACAGCAACCATATGTGAGGCTCTCAATGCTTTACTCTTCTATTTGGTGTATTATAAATTATAATTATACATTATGAATTAGGTGGCAAAGTATTTTGCTTATTATGCAATGAATTACACTATAGTTATGCCTAAAGAATAAAAGTCGATATTACCAGACTAAGCACTCATCATAGTATTTACTGTTCAAAGTAATAGCCACAAAATTAAGATATTTAAAATAACAGTCACAGAATTTATTCACAAAAAATGAAATATAAAAAGTGCACTCAATATAAGCTTGATTCTTGGTGAGTTAATAAATGTTAGAATTGCTTCTAGTTTATTTGAATGATCAATGCTGAGTGTGAAGTAACTGAGAATTACTCTGAATAAATATCCTATGTGGAACAACTTCAGATGAAAAATTCTCAAAGAAGTTGAGAAAACTCTAATTCAGTACAATCTGAAGAGGAATCCACTAAAGTGTGCCTTAATTGATGTTGGTAAAAATACATGTAACAGAAAAAGACTTAGTTGGGCAGACTTACAAAGCTTGTGAAAATGTAAGGCTTTTTAAAGCCTGTGGTTATTGTAAGCTTTTGTCAGAGATCCAAGGTGAGTACCCTGCCTTGCCCCACCCCACAGCTACCTGCTAGATGGCCAAGAAGGAATAAAGGATTATTGAAACATTTTTAGCTTATGACTGAAAATGAGATTTTTCTGAACTTGAAAGAATCACCCAGCTGGGTTTGGTGATGCACACCTGCAATCCCAGTGGCTCTGGAGGCTGAGACAGGAAGATCATGAGTTCAAAACCAACCTCAGCAACTTAGCAGGCCCCTATCTCAAAATAAATAAATAATTTAAAAAAGGACTAGGGATGTGACTCAGTGGTTAAGCACCCCTGGATTCAATCCCTGGTACCAAAAGAAAAGAATCACCCTTCACTACTTAACAGACACTTAATAATGGCTTTTTTACCCTAGAGCTGGGGGTAGAACTTAGGGAGTGACTCATATATGCAGAGCAAGCATTCTAATACTAAACTGTATCCCCAGCCCAGAAAATAGTTTTTGCTGCAGACTTGACAGAATTTCCTAATGAATTTAATCTAAAGCTATAAAGCAGACAGTTTTATCTGTGAAACTTATTTGTAGTAAACTCATTTCAGTTAACAACTAATAAAATTGTTTGAATTACAGGTAATGTCAGGGTGTTTTTTCTTTTCTTTCTTTTTTAATAGTTTTAGTTATAAATGGACACAATACCCTTATTTTATTTATGTGTTTTGTTTTGTTTTGTTTTTAATGTGGTGCTGAGAATTGATCCCAGTGCCTCACATGTGCTAGGCAAGGACACTAACACTGAGCTGCAACCTCAGCCTGTCAGGCTGTTTTTTTATACTTACAAATTTAGAGAAGATCTCTAACCCACACACATTAGCAGTAGATATATTTTATGAGCTCAAGCCACAGTTGTAATAGCATTTTAAATTTTTGTGTATAAAATCCAGTTGTGCAAAAGAGAAACTTCCTCATAACCTTCAATTAGAAATGATTAATCTGCAGTGTTAAAGTAAAAAACCAGGAGAAGAATTCCAGAATACCCTACAAGGTGACATATATTCAGTTAAAATTATATACTCATAGATTGATATCCATATTTGGCTGTACTTGTATGAAAAAAATTTTCAGATATGAAACCTATAAGTTCTCATTACTGACCTGTATTAATAGATAAAACTTTACAGTAAGTTTTGATGATAGGAATGATAGGAAAAGGTCACTTTAATCACTAATTAGTTAAAAATGTTATCCTCATAAAAAGAATTCCATTCTCTCTCATTAGTGGATGTGTACTACCAAAATACACACACACACACACACACTCTCTCTCTCTCTCTTTCTCTCTCTCTCTCTCACACAAACACACACACACACGGTTGTCATTATAATTTTATTTAGACAATCATTACTAAAACTTATAAAATTTTGGTTCTTTTCTTTGTATTTATTTTTTATTTTTACTTTTTATTTTTCTGTATTTCATTTTGACATCTTAGGGCTCACTTGTGTTTGGACAAATTGCACCCTCCTAGGAGTAGCCTATTTCTAGAGATAGTAAAGGACTTGCCTACAGCTGTACCTTAGTATGCAGACCAGTCTATCCAAAGCCCATGCTCCAGCCACTTTTATCATCCTTACCATCTCTGACACTCTGGGCCACTATTCCCCTCTCCTACTAACTGCAGGGACAGGTACTATGTAACTAAAGACCACTACTACAGTTTAGAGCTCACTGAAATTATTCAGACTCACCAATACTAACTCTCTTTACCTGTTTTACTCATTCCTTCTAATGGAAATCACAGTAAAGGCTCTTAACACGTTTTCCCTTTGCTCCTGTTGCTTCCTTGCTGACCCTGGTACTTCCCATGTAGCCTTTTATGTAATTTGTCATTCTTCCTCCTCCTGGAACTGAATAAAATTCTTCAGTGGTATTTGCCTTCTGACCTGTTGGCCTCATCATACCTGCACAATAATAAAACTTACCTTTTAAAATACTGTCGTGGTAAGCTGGGGTTGCGGCTTAATGGTGGAGGGCTTGCCTAGCATGTGAGACACTGGGTTTGATCCTCAGCACCATGTGTAAATAAGTAAAATGAAGGTATTGTATCCGTCTACACTAAAAATATTTTTAAAAAGCTGGTTGTGATGTGTATGCCTGTAATCCCAGCAACTTGGGAGACTGACGCAGGAGGATTGCAAGTTCAAAGCCAGCCTCAGCAAAAGTGAGGTGCTAAGCAACTCAGTGAGACCCCGTCTCTAAATAAAATACAAAATAGGGCTGGGGATGTAGCTCAGTGGTTGAGTGCCCCTGAGTCCAAACCAAAAAAAAAAAAAGCTGTCATGTTATATAAGTACCTATCTAATATCCTTGGTTTTCCTTTCTTGCTCAGAGATCCTAAAAATATATACTATCTAGCCCTTCACAGCTAAAGTTTGCAGTTCTGTGTTCCACATAATAAAGTCCAGGCTTCTTAGCATTGCATTTAAGGTCCTTTAATCCCTAAAATCCTACTTCATTATTACTTTTCCCATGTTATTTTTTCATTTTTCTTCTTCAGGGACTTTCCTTTAGCCAACCTGGCTTCTTTATTATTCATAGGAATATCCAAGGGAAAAAATATTTGCTAATTGTAGGGAATAAATGAATATGAGTAGTTGAAGATGACTGTGGTTTCAAGCTTAGATGAGTGTTAGGAGAATGTTCATGGCAATTAGTGAAAAAATGTAAGAAGAAAAGCAATTTCATGAAAGAAAATATGATATTCTGTACTTGGTCTCATTTTCGGTATATTGCATGATAAATTTTTTAAAATTGTAAGGTGTATATAGCATAAAGTTGCCATTTTAAGTGTGCAATTCAGTGTTATTAGTCACATTCACTGCATTACACACTATCACCACTGTTTTCTTTATCATCACCCCAAACAGAAACTTTGTAATCATTAAGCTTAAGTAAGCATTCCTAATTCCCTCCTGCCCCTGATAACTTCTAATCAACTTTCTGTATCTATGAATTTCTCATACCAGATACCTCTTGTAAGTGGAATCATAATATATTTGTGTCCTCTTGTGCCTAACTTATTTCACTTAGGGAAATGTTTTCAGGGCTCCTCCACATTATGGTATGTGTCAGAACTTCATTTTTTTTATGTCAGAATTATATTTTATAATATGTATGTAGCATATTTGTTTATCCATTGATCTATTGATGGGCATTTGTGTTGTTTCCAACTTATGACTATTGTGAATAATATGCAATTGAACATTATCATAGAAGTATTTGTTGGAATCCTTATTTCCAG